ATGTCTGGTTTCATTTGCTTCACTTTCAACTGCCATCACAGAATTGTCACCTGCATCAGTTTCCTCTTGCCTGCTTTATCGGAGTTGTACTTGAAGTGTTCTTGCTTTAGGAGAGGGCAATCCTTGATAAAATGCCCTGGCTTTCCACATTTATGACAAAGGTCATAATTCTTTAGTCTGCTGGAACTGCCTCTCTTTGTATTCCTCTATTTCTTCTGACCATTTTCTGAAACCTTCTGGTTAAGTAAGCCATGTCACTGTCCTCCTCACTTGAGTCATTGCTTTCAGCTTTGAGTACCAGGTTCTTTTCCTTCTTTGGTTCTCTTCTTTCACTGTCTTTCTTCTTCTTCATTTCGTAGGTTTTCAGATTTCCAACTATCTCATCTATGGTCAGCTCCTGCAGATCCTTTGCTTCAGTAATGGCATTCACTTTACTCTCCCATGAACTGGGCAAAATACTGAGAATTTTCCTCACGAGCTCGTTCTTGGGAATGATTTCACCAAGCGAGTGTAGCTCATTTATGATGGAAGTGAACCTTGTGTGCATGTCTTGAACGGATTCATCATCCTTCATTCTAAAGAGCTCATACTCAGTGGTGAGCATGTCAATCTTAGATTGCTTTACTTGAGTGGTTCCCTCGTGTGCTATTTGCAAAGCTTCCTATATTTCCTTGGCAGATTGACAAGCTGAGATCCTGTTGTATTCATCAGGTCCTATGCCACACACCAAAATTTTCTTGGCACGAAAGTTTTTCTCAACAGCTTTCCTATCTGCATCGTTGTATTCTTTCCTGGTTTTTGGTATCGTCAGTGGAGGGTCTCCGACCTTCTTCGTTGGGACATAAGGACCATCACAAATAACATCCCACAACTCAGAATTTTCTGCCATGATAAAGTCATGCATTCTTGTCTTCCACCACCCATAGTATTGCCCATTGAACTTGGGTAGTCTATACGTAGACTGAACTTCTTCAAAATTTGGTGGAGCAGCCATGAGGATCCTTTCTAGGTGTTAACCTGATAGAAAGAACCCGCTCTGATACCAATTGATAGAATATATGAGTCCACCAAACTATATAGAGACCAGGTCCTCTATAGGTTTCCACTGGTAGTGCTAATGAAACAGTAAGTAAATGGGACATGGAACTTTTGCGTGGAAAAATCCCTGCTCAAGGGGATAAAAAACCACGACCTATACTGGTAGGATTTCAACTTCACTATAAGCAATTTTTAGATTACAATCTATGCAATCTAGGAATTAAACTCTTAATCCCTCACTAACTTGTAATACACCTATTACAAGCCACTTTGCAATACACCTATTACAAAGACTTTCAACTCATGACTAACTCTAGTCACAACACAAAAACTGAAGGTTTATGGTTTTACAAGGGGTTTCTAATTAAAGCTTTTATATAAGCAAAGTAGGAATTACAATGAAGAACTAATACAAAGTTACAACTCAAAGGACATACAAGATACTTGCTGTAGGAACTGGTCCGTAGTAGTGTTGTGCTTTGTTCTTGATTGCACTTGAGAATTGAATGCTCAACTGAAGAACGGTTGGAGTGCTTGAAAAAATTCTCAAATGTTCAAGTGATATTTTGTTGTAATGCTCTTGTTCATACAACTTGGATGACATCACTTAAATGATGTAACCACTTGGTTAGTCAAAGGGGAGCGACTGCAGTACTGTGCTGCACTGTTTGCGTGTACAGTGCAGGCAGTCACTTTCCAGCTGTAAACAGTTGACTATGTACTGATGTCAGGGAACACAAGGGGATCAGGTCCCTGTGTTGATTATTTATCTTCTGGAGTCATAGCAACTCACATTAGCTGGAGTCCGTTGATTTGAGTTGTGTACCAAGTGTGTCAGGTCCCTTATCTGGTTCTTTGATAGTAAGTTTGTTAAATCATCAAAACATAAAGCTAAGACACTGTAAACCCATCAGTATTTATTTATAATAGGGATTTTTTCGTTCCTATACACTATGTGAAACTTTATTACCAAAACTGTCCATGTTTTGTTATTTACTCGACCTACACAAGTTTTATCTACAAAATATATACATTCCACCTTAAAAGGCTCCCAATCCATTATTAGTGCATTCAATCAAGGGATTTAGTTACACCCTTTTCCTTTTTTTTTTCTCCTCCTCTCTTTTCTTATTTTTCTTCCGCCTTAAAATACACTAATCAATTAAAGTTGGAGGAGTTTTTGCGGATGCATGAACACATCTATTTTGTACTAAATACTATGAAAGTCCATCAGATCTGTCATTTGACTCCCAAAACCCTCTTCTCATTATCATTTTTATTAAGGCATTAATTGGTTCGAACCAAATAATTGTATGGTTTACTCAGTCTGATTTAAAATTTAAACAACCGATATTAGTTTAAAAAGAATAGTTTTATATTTTCAATTTGGTTTGTTTCGGTTCAAATTGAGTCAGTCCTGATCCTGTACAACACTAAAGCCACGCGAGATCAGAATTATGCAACATTTAAAAATCTGAATACCGAGGTAAGCAGGAGCTTATAAATTACAAGGGGTCTGGTACACTTGCATTTTACCTAGCTAAACATGGCATCTAGGTCTTCAACCGTTAATTTTAGTCATACTTAGTTGATGTAACATTTTAAGCTGCATCAATGGTCAAATATTGGACTACTATAAGAAGGGCTGTCTAAGCATCTGATATGTATGTGGTTCAACTATTCGAAAAATCTGGGCATTTACGTCTAAGCCTTAAGATGATGGTTGGAGCAGTTCAGAATCATATAAACTCCTTTGGAAAACTCTTATATGATTAATGAAGGATATATATGTGATTGTATAAATTTTATATATTTTGTATCTGATTTATACATAGTAAAAATAAATTTCATACAACTAATTATATATTATACAACTAATCTACAACTTTCATACATTATTTTTACACAGTTAAATATAACTACAATATCATACAACTTAAATACAATTTGTATACAAATTTTATACAATATGTCTTTTGTGTATTTTGTATTTGATTTATACATGGTAAAAATAAATTTCATACAACTAATTATATATTATACTACCTATCTACACTTTCATACATTATTTCTACCCAGGTATATACAACTATAATATCATACAACTTAAATATAATTTTTATACAATATTGTTCAACTTTTATACATAGTTAAATAAAAAAAATATATATAAACAATAGAATACAAATAATTTTTCTACAATTTTACTACAAATTTACTATAATTTCTGCAGTATAATGTATGTCATGTCTTCTTCTTCTTCTTCTTCTTCTTCTTCTTCTTCTTCTTCTTCTTCTTCTTCTTCTTCTTCGAGTTCTTCTTCGAGTTCTTCTTCGAGTTTCAATCTGAAATTCAGCCAAATCAAGTCTAATCTTCACCAAAACACCCTCAACATTGAGATATAAACTCCAAACAATATTTCCAATTGTTTGCAACAACATCCAATCAAAACAAATAATGGTTTTTGAAAATTCAAATTCGAATTCAAAGCTTCAAAGCTTTTTAATGACTGTCAATGGTGGAATTGCTGCTATCTTTTCATTTGCTTTACATTACTGGAATTATGGATCGAGAGAAGAGAGACATAGAGAGAATTCCCAATTGTTTGCAACTACACCCAATTCAAACAAATAATGTTCTTTGAAAACCCAAATTCGAATTCAAAGCTTAAAGCTTTTTAATGGTTGTCAATGGTGGAATTGTTGCTCTCTTTTCCTTTGCTCTACATTACTGGAATTAGGGATCGAGAGATAGAGAGAGACGTAGAGAGAGAGAGAGAGAGAGAGAGAGCATGAGGGAGAGAGAATAAGGATGAGAAATAATTGATTCCTAATATAAAGGGATACTCATTTAGTTCATAAAGTGTATATGATTGGTAAATTGTATATAGAAGGTAATTAAATTGAAACTTGAGTAGGGAGGAAAATAAAATTTCCAATAATGTATAGGTATGTAAAAATATCAACCTAAGTACTCAATGTAAAAGTTGCACGGGGCGCCCTATTTGGTCGCCCCCATTTAACCTATACCCATTTTTTAAAAAGGTATTAACTTGTACCCACTTTTTAAATAACTTCAGCCCCCTTTCTCCTCCTTCTTCTCCTCCTTCGTTTTCTTCTTCTTCTTCTTCTTCTTCTTCTTCTTCTTTCTTCTGATGCTGTTGGTGCTGCTATGAAACTTCAGTTCATGGGATGATTGCCATAAGTATGTTTATCAGATTATCTAAAAATAAATTATAAATAATTACGTAAGTTAATAGACAATAATTTGTGAATATTTCCACGTACGGAAAGTTTAAGGTCACACTTAGTGATTCTTTTCATGATAATTCTGTTCTTTTCACGTTTATTGTTTCAAAAATTTATGATTTAGATACTGTTGGCAATCTGATTATTTTATAGTAGTAATACACTATGAAAGAATAAGGTGATTATCTATCTAGTATGTTAGAAAGCTTTTCAAAAACTTCAGCTTATATAGTGCAGATGTTTTTACAAATAAACTAAATAACTTCAGCATCTTCTCATGAAGTGTTTGAAAAAGCTTTATGACAAAACTAATGAATCCAGGACAAAAAAACTTCAGCTTATTTAGTGCTGCAGTTTTTACAAATGAACTAAATAACTTCAGCATCTTCTGCTGAAGTTTTTGAAAAAGCTTTATGACAAAACTAATGAATCCAGGACAAGAAAACTTCAGCTTATTTAGTGCTGAAGTTTTTACAAATGAACTAAATAACTTCAGCATCTTCTGCTGAAGTTCGTATTGCCTTTGCTACTTCATGCCCGTCTACTAGAATGGTGAAGTTTTGCGTGATTGCCTTTGCTACCCCGTATGCTGAAGTTACACGAAAAAATGGGTAGGCTAGTAATTTTTTTTGCAAAGCGGGCACAAATTTGTAAGTCCCCCGTACTCAATGGAACAAAGCCCATAAAAGGAAGTCCGGTCCATAATTAACCACGTAACCGAGTCGGTCTTTGTTCCCGGTTTTCTCCAACTTCTTCTATCCTGTCCATCCTCCGTCCTACTTCCTTTGATTTTCCTCAACCTTTTTTCAAACTCAGAAACCTGTATTATAGGTCACACCATATACATTAAAAAACACGGAAACTACCTTTTCAAACTCTGCTACCTTAAATTAAATTATTTTTCTTTAGGTTTTATTCAATCGATTCCTCTCTGATTTGAATCAAATTTTTAGGGATTAGAAATTTTGTGCAGAAATTCATGTTCGGATCATCACAAAGATGATTCTTTCACGTATTAATCGCTCTCTCTCGAAATCGAAATCTTCGATTAATAAAGTAAGCTGCAATTTACATAAATTTTAAATCTTTTCGTATTTTCTGAGTTTATTTATGTTAATGTTGTTAGTATGATACGCCTTATTTATTTATTTATTCAGCAGGCATTAGTTTCTGGTGTGAGAGGAGTGATTTTGAATGAAGTGGCATCGCGTAATGCGTGCGTTACACGCGTCAATGGCGGGTTAGGGTTTGTGAGAAGCTACCTGACATCTATTGGAGCTGGAAAACAAGGTGTCAATAAGGCATATTTGTCGGAACTTGATTCACTATTTGCAAACCCAAGACTCCGGAGGTTTTTTTGCAGCCAAGGATCAAAGAATAAAAGTGAGAATAATTCTTTACACGTTTTTTTTTTCTTTTTAAAAAAAATAAAAACTTTTTCTTGGTGATGGATTCATATTGTTGTGTTTTGATTATGTAGACTACGAGAACTATTATCCGAAGAATAAGAAAGAAGTCCCAAAAGGGAACAATCAAAAGGCGGAGTCGGGCAAAGGTATGCAACGCAATGAATTAACAGTTTGTGCATTTGATGTTCAGTAACATATGATGAAGTAAAATTATTGTGGTAAGTTATTAGACTTTACTAGAATGTGTAAATATTGGGAATATTTCAGTTCGAGCTAAGTTTTTGTTTTCTAAAGTATGTTGCATATGATTAAATAGGACTTTGGATTACTAAAATCATTGGTGAGAGTAAGTGTTAGAGATATAGCTCATTTATACTATTCCAAATGTTTAGGAAAATGAGAATACCTATCTATGAATAGAGATGTAAATTAGCAAGTGGAATAGCGCCTTATTTACTTAAGTTGAATGTGTCGAAGTAGATTTTGATATTCTGCAATATCCCTTGTTTGGTCCTTCGTCTTAAGGACTGTGTAAAAGTGACTCTACACTGCCTATGCAAATCATGGATTAAAGCCTTCTTACTGCGAAGACAACCTTTGTTTTATGGAAGTTTATGGTACTGAATTTCTTGGAGGTTAAGATTACATGCTTTGCATGCATTCAAAATTATACTGGGAATTGGTTGTCTTCAATAGCAACTCTCACTTCAAAACCGTCTATATGTTCTTAATTTGACAGTGCAAAATGTCTGATATATTTATGTCAGTGTTAGTGAAAGGCGTCACTTTGTCTATTGAGCGATGCGATGCAAAGAGTTATCACTTCATGGGTGAAGTCATGCAGTTTAGAGAAGTGTGAGAATATTAACGTTCTGCGAGTTCATTGATATCGGCGATTGGATTCTGAATTTTTTTTTCAATATTGTTATACTACTCCCTTCAAAATTAAATTCATTGGTATTCCTAGTTTTCAGCAAAATGTATGCTTCACTTCAAAGAAGCATGTGCTTCACTTCATGCTTTTCGCTTCAAGACACATGGATCTTGTCACTCTTCTGTGCTTATCGCTTTTAAAATGCTGTTTTATGTTATCTAAGAGGGTTTCACAGATAATCCTCTATTTACGAAAAGATAAGAATGTATTTATTATTGATGTTGAGAAGAGAGATATCATTACTTTCGCATATCTCACTCATCAACATGGCATACATAACCGAACCTGGGCAAGAACAGTTAGGTAAACTAGCTGACCGCATGTTAAATAAGTTATCTTTTAGAAGTTAGAAATTAATATACATCTAGCAACTAACCAGGGTTAGCTTCAGGATTTACTCTCGAAAAATAAAATGATCTAATCTGCATCATTGATAATCTGATTAGGTACAATGTCCTGTGAGTCTTCCCTTTCTTTTTCTGTTTTTTCTTTCTTTTATCCTTTTCAGCGAATAGTTCTTTCTTCAATATCCTTAGACGAATCTTTTCCAGAGCTTATTTTTGGATCACTCTTAATTCTTCCCTTCATTTGTGTCAAAAGATCTATTACGAGTTGCGGATGCAGAACTTTAGTTAATGAGCTGATAAATTAAATATCTTTTTAAAAGGTTTGCAGTGGCTTTTGAATGAATAAGAAAATTGTATTTGTTTACATTAATTTAAAACAAGGGACAATGTTCTCTTTATTTTGCATATAGTTGAACTGAAGCTCTCTAATTAAACACTTCCAGTGGACGAAGAGATATTCAATTGACTTTAGTGCGAAAGTAATCTTTGTATATGGAAGTTTATGGTGCTGAGTTTCTAGGAGGTTAAGATTACACAGTTGCTATGGAAGTTTATGGTGCTGAGCTTCTAGGAGGTTAAGATTACACAGTTGCTATGACTCTAAAAAATGTAGTATCATTGCATCCTCTATCATGGGGTATGAAACAAGTGGTAAGTCCTTTTCTGAAAAGAAAAAAAAACAAGTGGTAAGTAACAATTGCTAGCATGACTTCCGCATTCTTTTCCCGTTTCTTGTTGTGTTCTCTTTTGTCCTGTCTATGGTGAAAAATTAATTTTGGTTTCTTTTTTGGCAGAGGAAAGTACAGGCGAGCAAGGAAACCCTCAGGACTTCCTGAAGCAATATCAAAATATACTCACACCCTTGTTATTTATTGGATTTATTCTGTCATCGACACTTCTCGGTCCTCGTGAGCAGAAGGAGGTTAGTCTTAACCAACACTTCTACAGTTGGAGTTTTCATTGTTCCAGTCCCTTTCTCTTTCTTTTCAAGGACGAGTTTAGTGCCTTATGGAGTGTGAGTTCCATGTGTACTTGATTGTGATCGTGCTGATATCTATGTTAGGACCAACTTTCTGCAATCATGGCTTACCTTCTTCCGAGAAGTGGAAATGAAAGAACAAATAACTTTACTAGTAAATGAGGATACTATGATAGAGGGTGTTCAAGGTAGGGATTGATTTTGGGGAATTGGTTTGGAACTTTCATGGACGGAAGTGGTGAGTTGGTTTGGAAGAATTAGTTTTGGAGTTGGTGTTTGAAATGACATTTTCTATAGTTTCCAAAACCTAAATAATTTGGTTTCACTTTGTTTTCTTTCCAAACACATGTTAGCTTTTGCTTTTGGAGTGTTGTCCCAAGACTTCCTAAAATCCTAATGCCATTTAAAAAGATTGACTCATATTGCTGTCAGAAGAATTCCATTACAAAAAGATTGAATGAATTAAGTACTTTTTTGTTTTGAGGGAGATCAGAGTGATGAAATTAACTATTCTGCATTAGTGTTGAATGTTGTGGAAGGTATCACTTGCAATCTTTTTGGGTTTGGGTATCATTTGATTATAAGTTTTTTCGCAAAGGATGTTTTATATTATAACAACTATACTTGGTTTATAAACAGACTTGGTTTTGCAAAAGAACTCAGAAAGTTCCCTAAAAAACCGAAACAGATTTCAGGTGCTTTTCATTGTTTACAGAACAACTATTCGTTCCAGAAACAATTCAAACACAGTTATTGTCTAAAAATTGTTTTTCAAAAGTTTCAGTTTTCTAGGAAAACATGGAAAAAATCCGAACTTCACGTAAGGTTTCACAAAAACCGTGATTGAGAAAAAAGGTTTGCTGAGCCTTATAGTGATCAATGGAGATACTGTGTTATAACTTATACCATGAATGCAGCAAGGAATTAGATTTAGTGTAACTAGATATTTATGATAAACTCTGCAATGGATTTGCAGCTTTCTCATATAGTATTGTTCTATTGGTCTGCAACCATTACTTCTTCCTTCCTCCCCCCCTCTCCCAGACGGCGCACACATATAAATGGATTAACTTGTATATTGCTAATGGAAAAGTTGAGCTTGTCTTTTACAGTCTGACTGATGAATGAAAGAGTTGATGTTTTTATACCATATACTGGTTCACGGATAATTTCATGTTTTTCCAGTCAAATGCTTTGTATTTAGAGACCTTACTACCTGTTTGTCCTGTACGGCAAATCCAGATGAAGCAGCTATTTGCCTTAGTAGAGCAATACATCTAGAACAAGAAAATAGTGCATGGTTTTAATTGAATTCCTATGATGAGATACATGAGCCGTTAACCTCAGTTGCATTTCCTAATTAACTTTTTACTTATACTCTGAAATCTAACTCATCAACAAGTTTAGCGATAACTGCACTGGATGGAAGATTGTTACTTTTTAAAGAAACATACAAAAATGAGAAAGGAAACCTCAGTACTCCCTCTATTTTATCCCACCTGGTCATCCTTGCATATCGGTTATATATTGCCATCATTTGAATTGGTTATATTGACATTTATAACAATAGCGATAACAATAGTAATAATAAAAATAAAAGTGGATGACGAAGGACTTCTTTTCAAAGTTTTACCGTGTAGCACTGAAATTAATTAAGCAGTGTGACTTATGTATATGTTGAATCTTTTCAGTGATACTACTAAGCAGGTTTTTATTTTCTAGGAGCAGCAATTTTATCTTATCTTTCATTAATTGATTGTCTTCTGAATCTTTCTTCTCTTTATCATGGTTATTTCGCTTTATGTAAATTTTCAGATTAGCTTCCAAGAATTCAAAAACAAGCTACTTGAAGCTGGTCTAGTTGATCGAATTGTTGTCGCTAACAAATCTGTGGCCAAAGTTTACGTGAGAAGTTCTGCACCTGGTATTAATCAAACAGGCGATGACACTGTTCAAGGTCCTACAAGCGGTACGAATGGTGGAAGAAACACGGGCCAGTACAAATACTATTTTAACATTGGGAGTGTTGAGTCATTTGAGGAGAAGCTTGAGGAAGCACAAGAAGCCTGGGGAATAGACCCTCACAATTATGTTCCTGTGGTGTATGTTGATGAATTGAATTGGTTCCAAGAACTGATGAGGTTTGGTCCAACAGTATTGCTTCTAGCTGTCCTTTATTATATGGGACGAAGAGTGCAGGGTGGCATAGGAGTAGGAGGCTCTGATGGAAAAGGTGGTCGTGGAATATTTAATATTGGCAAAGCGAATTTCACCAAAATGGATAAAAATGCGAAGAATAAGGTAAGAATAAGTTTCTATTGTCTGTGCAGCTTAAAAAATAGCAGCATTTTGAAATGGAAAATTTTAAAAATGATACATGCCATGAATTTTCATGATTATTTCTTGGAATGTTATCAACACTTTCTTGGTACAGGTTTTCTTCAAGGATGTGGCTGGATGTGACGAGGCTAAGCAAGAAATCATGGAGTTTGTCCACTTCCTTAAGAACCCCAAGAAGTACGAGGAGTTAGGAGCCAAAATTCCTAAGGGTGCTCTGCTAGTGGGTCCTCCTGGAACTGGAAAGACACTTCTAGCTAAAGCTACAGCAGGAGAATCTGGTGTACCTTTTCTCTCGATTTCTGGGTCAGAATTTATGGAGATGTTTGTTGGTGTTGGGCCATCTAGAGTTAGGAGCTTATTTCAGGAGGCAAGACAGTGTGCACCTAGTATAGTATTCATTGATGAGATTGATGCTATTGGTCGAGCAAGAGGGAAGGGAGGCTTTGCTGGAGGAAATGATGAACGTGAGAGTACTTTAAATCAACTGCTTGTAGAAATGGATGGATTTGCTACCACATCTGGTGTAGTTGTACTTGCTGGCACAAATAGACCTGATATATTAGACAAAGCCTTGTTAAGACCTGGTCGATTTGATCGCCAGATTAGCATTGATAAACCCGACATCAAAGGCCGTGATCAAATTTTCAGAATCTATCTGAACAAGTTGAAACTTGACCAGGAGGCAGGGTTCTATTCACAGAGACTTGCTGCTCTAACACCTGGATTTGCTGGAGCAGACATTGCAAATGTTTGTAATGAGGCTGCTCTAATTGCTGCTAGGAATGAGAGTACGATAATTACCATGCAACATTTTGAGTCAGCGATAGACAGGGTGATTGGTGGTCTAGAGAAGAAGAATAAGGTATTGGTCTTCTCCTTTTCCCCCTTCCATTTATGTACTTTATCTCATGTTTCCATACCTCCATTATTAGCAAGTAAATTTCTTTCCTGTCTTACGATGCGTATGAATAAAATATTTAACCGAATCATATTAGGGTTTGTATTGTAATTCGATCAAATTGTTGAGTTCTTGCTGTTATAAGAAGAGCGTTGTGAGGTGGGTGAACGCCTTCTAGAGTCCTGGGTAAACCACTGTGGCATAAGATGGGATACTTTAAAATTTTAGAGGCAGATGTTTACAGCATTGGAAGGAACTAAATCAACCTGTCCAATGTTGCAAGATTGTAATTCGACTTTGAACCACTCGAGCACTTTTTTGAATATTCTGTCATCCAATGGCCCCCTCCTTTTTTTTGTGTGGTCATCACATCAGAGGTTTAGATATATTCATTTTGAACTGTCTTGGAGCCAACTGAATCTTGTCAGTCTAACTGAGCTTCGTCATTTGCTGCTACCTGGAGGATCTTAACCTTCTGTTTGTCTAGGTTGCATC